TTTTGATGACTGCTTTGGCTGTTGTTTATTGTTAAATCCTAAACTCTCAATGAATTGCAGGATGTGCTTAGCTCTGATGTCTTTCACTTCCTTTGGGTCGATGCTACGTTTGCATATTAAGGATTCTGCATTCTGAAAGAATGTGCTGAGGTGTTTTGTTCACCAAGATAATAAATAGAGATGGGATAGTAGTTAAGCACTTACTTGAATTTGCACTCGATGTTTTAGGATACACATTACATGGTTAGGATATTAATGGTGATGACAAAAATCTTTGACATATGACAGTTTTACCATCCCGTACGCTCTTTGCTGGACTTCGGCTTGTTACGCTTTTTTTTATCTCGTGCCGAACTTGCAGATTCGCTTGATGACGATAATTCAAGACTTTGATCTGACCCTTCGGCGGAGCTATCTAAAAATGATACATAATAATATACGATATATTATCACAAATTTTTGACGACGTTTTGTTTTTATTTTATTTTATAGTATAAGGTTTACAAACGAGCACACAATACACATTATGGTATGCTGTGGCCCATAGATATCTACATCTGTCTACGATTAAGAATCAAAATGTGAGATCGTGGTCATCATCCTCCGTGATCCGTGATCCGTGATCATCTGTGAGAACGTGGTCGTTCCCTAATCGGGCCGACTCATTCGTGGTACAACCACAACAAAGCTGAAGCATGGCTCCACTACTTGAAACTATCACAATAATTCTCATTTATTTAACTTAAAGTGATAGCTATTAACTAGTGCCCAAAGTAATATTGCTTATTTGACCGTGGAAAGGAAAGGGACGGGAAAATTAGGGAAGGCAGGAAAGAAATATCTTCCGCCGGGCAAGGTGTTCAGTACTGGTAGCGGCCAACGTTTGTCGCTGATATACATATATATATATAGAGCTATTCTATATATACCGGAGTACTTCGGAACTTTGTTAGTGTATCGCGACGCGCGACGACAGCTCCGCCACACTATTACTACTAAGCTGTTGTGTAGTGCGTTTGCAGACCCCACTCTTAACCATTAGGCTACTTAATAGAATTAGACGTTACTTTGCGGAAATCCATTATAATAAAGCTGTTATAACTTGACCTGCTTAATTCCGCGTAAAGAAAGAAAATGGTGTGTTCTTCTCAGTTTGAAGAAGACCTCCCAACCTCTCTCAATTGCGTGCACTATACCCGTCACTATCAATCCCAGCACCACCACCCCTAGCATCACGACACTAGGAACGACATACCACTCTCGATAATACGAGGTATCTTCATGTGAAGTAGACTCTGCGGAGGCTTTTCTTTCTTTACGCGGAATTAAGCAAATTAAGTTATAACTTCATCATTAGGCTATTGTTGCTTAATAATTTTAACTACGGATATTCATTACTTCACTCACTTTCCTTTTCTCCAGAAGACGATGATGTGGATCTCGAGTTTTTGATGTCCATCTTCAATTTCTTGATGTCCGTCTTCGATTTCCGTCTCGTTTCAAATTCAGTTACATGGTTATTGACATCGTGCGACGTTTTGTTTCCTTTGTCTTTTACAAGTGAATGTGCTACATCTACTACAAAAAGCGTGAAGATTTTAGTAATAAATATTTGTATACATTAATATTTATGGTAATTTATCCTTCAGATAACATTTTGTAAACAAAAATGAGAAAATTAAAACTAAAGAAAACTGTTGGTATTACTAAACAAGAAAATTTCTTCATGGCGTGTTTATTTAAAAAATATGAATCCTAATTTAAAGGAAAAAACTAAAATGCCAAGACATATTGACTGTGATGCCAATATTAAAGTCTTGGCATTTTAGTCACTTAATTTGCCTCATAGACGGTATATTTGCCATAAATGCTACGTTTGGGAAGCGGGTTGCTTATAGCAGCTTTTACTTTCTGGTTGTTATTAGTAAGACGCTGCTGTTCATTATGTTTGTTTATCTCGGTTGTCTCGATGATAAGGGGTACTAGATATTCTTACATCAGTACTATATGGTAAACAATAATTTAACTTTAAAAAGATATACGGTCGGTCTGTCGGTAAGTCGGTTATTCAATAAAAATGAATTATTGGTTTTAAAGCAAACTTACCAATAGCAATGAATACTATTATCTGCACCGTTAACAACTGCACCATGGCCGAACTCTTCCACAGAACCAATCATTTCATTTTATTCAACTTCAGATATTTCTGAACGGAAATCGTAAATCCAGTTAGCGTATGCGTTTATCGGTATTTCAATTTTATGAATTTACGAAACGTTCCCAATGTTACGTAGCTATTCTTTATTTTGCCTTTTTCCAATAACGTGTTCGTGTGAATTCCGATACCTGGCTTTCAGGTTTCATTCTTTGCATTTAATCTGCGCTAAAATACATTTATGATTTAACTTGCAACATTTTTGATTACATTTTCCTTTTCACATATTTTATTACTCTGTAGTATGTTTTTATTTTTTATTTTAAGCCAGTGCAGTACAGTTTTTAATACGCAATGCACACTACCCTAATGCTATCCACCTCACTCCATCATTGGTGTAGTGGTCGTAAAAGCGATTGCGGACCATGAAGCCTTCATGGTCAAATCCCGGCTCAGGTCAAAACTACTATTGATTTTTCCTGCCCGAAAATTCTTAGTTGGTGCCTGAGTCAGGAAGAAGGCGGTGTTTCACTCCGTGCCTCGGAAAGCCGTTGGTCTTGCTGATCTCTCTCCGGTTGTGTCGAATGACCGTACTATTAGAGAAGGAAGAGAGAGTGCACCTATGCTTTCGCATACATTCGGGCATTAAGGTTTAAAGTTATTAAATAGTAATATTATCGTAAAACATTTAATGCTGTTGTATTTCGAATGGTGAGCTTTGAGAACCGGAGACCATTTTACTGGGAACGAGGGGTTGTATCTTTGTCCTCAGGGCTGATAGATGTAGATGTGTATGGGCCACAGCATCCAGTTACCATCAAGTGGATTGTATGCTCGTTTGTCACCCAAGTTATATTTTATAATATTGATACGTTAAAACAAAAAATTAAAACAATTACCTTCCTCGTATAGCTACTAACTGTAACACTATAAATAATTGAATGTAACGAACACACAATATTCCGCGCTAATGTGTTTTCCTAATAACGTTTTAGTATTCCCAGCGGTTCTCGCGTTGGAAATTGATCGTCTCCCGATTTGAACAAGACATGTTTTATTTATCGTATCACTTCCAACGCGTTACGTTTCGTCGTAATTTAATTTTATATACTGCGGTTTGTGTGTAACGCGGCCCCCCACCACATGGAGTGACGACCTGGTAACACATGCAAGAAATTGATAGATACAGGTGGATCAGGACCGTGCTTTGTGGTATTCCTTGAAGGAGGCTTATGTTAAACAGCGGACTTGTGAAGAGCTGTAATGATGATGATCATGAAAATACTTTGCTACTACTGCAGCTATATTAATAGTATAGTTGTAGCACGAATGGGTCGGCTAGACCGGGGAAGGATCACGCTCTCACAGAATACCAGCGTAAAATAGCAGCTTAACGCTGCTGTGTTTCGTATGGTGAGTGTAGAGAACCGGAGACTCTTTTTACTGGAAACGAGGCATTCCATCTTAGTCCTCATGGGTGACAACGCATCTGCATTTTGATTCTTAATCGAAGAGAGATGTAAATGTCTATGGGCCACAGCAACCACTTACCATCAGGTGGACTGTGTGCTCGTTTGTCACCCTTATCTTATAAAAAAAAACTTAACGAAGAGATAGAGAATAATACCAGGAGTAATCTTGGCCTATTTTTTATGCAGGTGGTTCAAGACCGTACTTTGTAGTAATGTAAGGACGAGACCTATGTTCTGCCTATGTTATACTTGTGAAGGGTTCTAGTAATATTGTTTGTGATAATGGTACATTGATGGTGGTAGATTGACGGTGCTATTACCATTTCTTATAAATTGGATCTTAAACAGCTAGATACGATACGTCTGGTACTGTGATTGTCTATCCGCTCGCCAAAAGTGATGATTACGACAATGCCCTCACGTCAGAGACGCTCATATCTGACTTTCCTAAGAGAAAAGAGGATGAAGTAAAAGGCGTATCTTCAACTAATAAATTTATTAACAACAAAATTATATTCAATAAAACTAATTTTACGGATTTTGTCGCATTTAATTTAACTTGTATTAATTCCCGGCGTTTTGTCACGGGGCGACCAAACATCGGGAATTAAATATAAGTTAAATAAATTAAATGAAACTCGATAAAATCCGTGAAATTAGTTTTATTTAATGTCAAGTACATGTGTAAATATAAACAGCTTTTTTTGTTTCTCTTTTTTTTTGTTTTCTCTTTCTTTTTAATTAATTAGTTTCATTTGCTTTGTATATGTTACCTACGGTCAAAACTCATAACTGATCAAAACCACTTTCGACTGCGAAAATCAGGCAAAAATGTTTTGACCCATACCCTTATTAAAGACAGTTTTGATTGATGTTTGTAGTCAAAAGTGGATTTGACTAACGTTCTCAGTTATAAGTGGTTTTGTCCAACGTTCTAGTCCAATTCTTCTAATATTATATTTTATATGATTATAATGTCGCACGGAACAAGTATTTGTATGGCCTACAAATAATTATTCCGGATCGGGATGTTTGCCCTCGTGCAATTTATGTTTGTAAAGTGCCTCCACGAAACAAGAGAAAATCCTAGTGTGGGGGTAACGTTTCATAAAAAAAAAATGTACGCGGCTTTAGGGTGCTAGAAGCGCCATCCCAGCCGCACATTTACCTACTGTCACTGATATTGTAGGATTAGTATAATGTTTTATTAGATGTATATAGCCTATAATCATAGTTTTGACTAACATTCTACAAAATCACTATTATCAAAAGTGGTTTTGATCGGTTGTGAGTTTTGACTGTAACATATCTAAACTTAAATACAAATAAATTACTAAGCACAGATATCTAACCCTCTGTTTTACTAACCGACGCTAAACTTTGTAAATATAGAACCAATGGCGTCCGTGATAATTATCGTTCTTGCATCGATGATTGTACAGTTTTATAAACACTGTAAGATAAAAACGTTTTCAATTATTAATAATTCCTAATAACTGCAATAGCTTCTGGCTCAAGCTTCGAGCGCGTGGAAATAAAAACACATTACACAAGTGCTAAAATTAAAAATTTCGTACAAACGTCTTCAATATAAATTATTAAGGATAACAAGAAAACTACAAGTCAGACCTTATTCAAAGAAGAACTAACTAAGAAAAAAGTTATGAGGTAACACACATAAAAAAAAACACAGTCGAATCGAATACCTTCTCCGTTTTGAAGTCGGCCGAAAACATTTCTTATTATAGAATAAAGGTGATATACGAGCACATAGTCCACCTGACGGTAAGTGGATACAGTGGCCTATATACATTTAAATTAATCCTCGATTGATAATTAAAATCCAAATGCGTTGGCAACTCTGAAGGCTAAGATGGAATGCCTCGTTTCCAGTAAAAGAAACGTAATGCGTGGTAAATATTACGTTTAGTATAGCACAAATGGGTCAGCTCAACCGGGGAAGGACCGCGCTCTCACGGAATACCAGCGCAAAATAACTGCTTAATGCTTTGCATTGTAAGTGTAGACAACTAATGATCCTTTTAGCTGAAAACGAAGCATTACATCTTAGTCCTCAGGGGTGACAACACATCTGCATTTTAGATGTAGATAACTGTTGGCTACAGTACCCACTTATGATCAGATAGACTGTGTGCTCGTTTGTCACCCTTATTCTATAAAAAAATCTTAACACTTCCATTCATACTCCAGGTGGATATGATAAGTTTATAGGACGACGGGTGAACGCAGGACGTAGAGTAAATGGGGCTCTTCACTCTATTTGGGAAAGTCAGAATGTGTCAAAAAAGGCACGTGTGGCAATTCACAATGATATGTTAGTTGTTGTTGGAGAAATGCGGTCATTAAGGAGTATGTTAGGTCAGAATCTAAATGACAGGGTGAGAAATTGTGTAATAAAAGAAAAGTGTGGTTGGCAATGAGATGGTGTTGTGACTAATAAATTAATGCTTCAATGGTTTGTTCACGTAGTACGAATGAACGAGGAAAGAGTGACAAAGCAAATTTATGTTGCAGAAATGAAAGGCAGAGTCGGAAAGAGAAGCCCTAGATGAAAGTTTATCGACTAAACTTCCGATATTATTGAAGAGGGGTCTAATTAATAGTACCTTTAACCGATGAACATGTATGCGTAGATATACGGATGTAAATTAGGCGATAGGTGTGTCAGGATCGTGGACCAAATTGAAGTCCGTAGTCTCAGCCTACCACCTTGGGTGACACGCGTGAGTGTTTATGATATGTTCTATTAAAATGACCCATTCCTTAACAAGTACAGAGGACATAAGCACACACATACACACATAATATAAAATGTTAAAAAAAATCAGTACTCACTGGTGCCGTCCTGACAATTCCTGAAGCGCATCATACACTCGCTTTTAAACGTTCTCCGAGCTCGCTGATAGCCTCCACAGATCCATTTGATGCCCTTGTTAGTGTATTTCTTCAGCATATCGTGTGGGCACGGATCGCACTTGCGATAAGCACGTGTACTAAGGCAGCAAAGTTAGTGTTAAGTGATTACACCTTAACTATCACTAATATAGAAGTTACATCTCACTATAACTAACTAACTAGATGTTGTTAAGCGTCACCAATAGACTCGATGTTAAAAATAATAGTACTTAAACACATTGTAATTTTTTTTTAAAGCAAATGGCTGAATTCTTTTAGAAGGTTTTTTTAATTGCTACTTAAATTTAAGCTACAATTGTTTTGTATTTTTAAGCACACTTTTTTTTACAATAAGTAAGTAAATTTAAGCACACAGTCCACCTCATGGTAAATAGATGATGAAGCCCATGGAGACATACAAACAACTATCAACGATTTGGAATCCCTTAGGACCCACGAAGATTGAATACTTCGTACCAGTAAAAAGTCACCCACCATAAGAAGCACAGCGGCATTTTGCAGTTGTTTACGCTAGTATTCTGTCATAAGTGTGTGGCAGAGTTGGCAAGGTATTTTTTAATATAATTTACTAAAGTAACAAACTTACTTACACTCCCCTTGATGGTAAGTGGCTACCTCAGTCCATAAACACCTGCAACCAGCTTCTAATACAAAGGATGCAAATGTGTTGTCACATCTGAATTTCTGGGGACTAAAATGGAATGCCTTTACTGTCAATAGTCTTTACTACACTTTATTATACTGTCTCTCTATACATGTCACACCGGAACACAATAGTGCAAACATTACTACCAGCAGGAGTTAAGAGGGTTATACTTACCTAGATGTATTCCTAGGTAAAAAAGAATTCCTATCACCTAGATAGTCATAAAGATAGATCGATAGAGGATGTGAAAGAAGCAAAAGAGGTGTGTTAGGATTGTGTCAAATGAAAATCGGTTGTCTCTGCCTACCGTTCTGGTTGAGAGCGAGAATTCGTAGTATTATACCAAATCGTAGTCCCATTCATACTGCATCTATATTCAGCTGCAGCGTGGCTCTATCAGGTAGAGTCTAGGGTCCCGTTCTTTACGGTTAATAGATACATTCTCATGGACTTTCCTCGCTCTGATTATTGTGTATACTAATGTATCAAAACTGTATTTGCTTAGGATTTGGTGGTATGCATAGTTGAAGAAAGATTACCACCATCATTTTTTTAAATAAGATGTTAGTACCACCATATATCATCATTCTCATCATCATCATTACAGCCCTTCACAAGGCCACTGCTGAACATAGGCCTCTCTCAAAGAACGCCACAAAGCACGGTCCTTAGACATCTGCATCCATCGATATCTCTATTTAAATAATAACTATTTAACTATACAGGGTTATTTTTTCAAAGGGTAGCCAATTTTAAACTTAAGTTCAAATATATAAATAATAAAAAAATAAAATAAAATCAATTTATTTCAGACTGAGTCCATACAAGTAACATTTACATTATAATAAATTTAATCTCATCTAATTTAATTTTATATAATTCTATCAAATCGTTTTAATTTAATTTATATATATAAAATAAAATTATAATGATCTACAGTTATTGCAATTTTTGAAAATAAGAATAAATAATACTTCTATTTTTATTTGAAATTATTCTAAATTTAATGTAATTTATGGGCAACAACGTTTGCATTGCCTACCGATCGTCCCTTTCGAATATGTGCGTGCGCATAGTAAAATCAGTTATATATAATAATGCATTAACACGCATTTCGAATTTAAAACATAAAAAGGACAGAATTTTTGAGATATTTTTTAATTAATTCTTCTTCACCATTTGCCTGTATTACTTATTCTGAACCTTCTCTGCAAATTTGGCCGCTTATTGCAAAATAACCCTGTATATACGAATTAGGAAACGCACTTACGCTATCTTTTCATTCGAAGTTTCTTTCGAAGAGGCCTCTGATGATTTACTGCTTGCAAATGATTCCGTGAAATCTGAACTACAAAATTGTTGAGTATAAGACCGTTATTCAACAAATTAACCTATAGTAAATCACCTATAGTTCTTCAAAGTCAGACAACATTTGAATACCTACATTGTCAATAAAGGTATTTATCTCTTTTTTCATTACTTACTAGCTTTTGTCCTTGACTACGTTAAACCAATTATACTTTACAGTTTTTGCATCGGACGCCAAAATAGCTCGCAAACGGCAGATTTTTTCCGACTTACTTAACACTAATAGTTATATTTTGACCAATTTACACAACATCTTTATTAATTATAGCCTTTGTGTTATTCTGATGTATGAGCTATATTATTGTAAAGTTTCATTAAAATACATTCAGTCGTTTTTGCGTAGAATAGTAACAAACATCCATACATCCTCACAATCTTTCACGTTTATAATATTAGTAGGATTATAAGCCTGTGCTTGACTACAATTTCAATTGGTGGTAATTAAGATTTTTGCCTTGGATACTTATTCTTTAGCCATGGCTTAATTTCATTCGGGATCTTCGTTTTTATAGATTTTCAGCATCATGTGATAATAATCCTTTATATTACACTGCCTCACAATATATTGATGCGACACATTGCGTAGCGTAGTTTTTCGTTTTTTTTTTAAATAACGAATAATTGGTAAAACAAATGGTCTTGGATTTAACGCCTCAATAGACACTACCCTGACTTCGCCTGGGTAGGGTCTATTGAGGCTGGAATACCTGGTCTCTTCACTACTAAATGCTGTACTCTTTGATCCCTGTGACTCCTGTGAGCCCATGGAATACCACGCCGGACCTCGGTGCTCCGCGTCTCCGAACCCAGCTACATTGTCCACATATATATGCTCCTGTTCGTGTGGAGTTCGTCCTTGCTCTTGGCACTGTGATACTGGTGACAAGTTGTTTATCTTTATAAATCTCTTATGCACTAAGTGCCTTGGTTAAGGATTTTAACATCATCCATCTATCCATTACAGCCTATAAAATTCCAGTGCTGAATATGTTAGATTACCCCATAGATTGCGTCATAATTTTGCCATAGCCTCTCAAAGTTCAAAATCTTTATTAAATAAAAGTAGTATAAAAAGGATTATTATAATATTAACAATTTTAAGGACGATAATAAACCCTGGGAATGAGGTGATCTAATTTGTTTTGTGTTGTTAATTGTAAGCTGTTATTTTTTTTAATTTCCACTGGGCTTCTTGCTGGTTCTTCACAGAACAGAGGTTTTTATTCCGAACGAGTGGTAAATTAAACAATAGAGTGACTAGTAAGATAAGTATTATTTATAATCCATTTGCTGGTACCAGGCGCGTAGCATACGCAGAAGAAATTATTGCGGTATTATCGTTTTAAATTTGGAAGACTTATATTAAGTAATTAGGAATGCTGATACATTCATTGAAATTGAATGATATATTATTACTTTCAAATAAATTTGTCAGTACTATGTGTGCGCCACCCAGTGTAAGTTAATTGTACTATGCCTATAGTCTTCGTACAAGTGTAAGCAATATGTAGAGCACGAATGCGTCGGCTCGACCGGGGTAGGACCACGCTCTCACAAAATTCCAGCGTAAATTTAATACTGTTGTGATTCGTATGTTGAGTGAGTGTAGAGAAGCATTCCAAGTCCTCAGGGGTAAAAACGCATCGACATTTCGATTCTTAGTCAAAGTCTGTATGGGCTACAGCATCCACTTACCGTCTGGTGATCTGACTTAATGGTATCAAATTGTAGTTTTTTTGAACTCGGAACCCGTACTTGGTTTCTTAAAAAAAGGAATAATATCGAATATCCAGCTTTAACTATACCAGAATTGTGAACACCCTAATATTGAAATGAACGGCTTCGAGGACAAGTTTCGACAATTCCAGGCGCGATCCCGGAATTTCATACCGCAATCGCTACGTATTATGCGCATATTCTTACGTTCCTGGCTGAGCCCGGATTAAAATGCAAATGTATGAGCGAGGTGTTGCAGTTTCCTGGTTTCGTTGAGCTTTGCATGTTAAAGAAAAAAGAAGGTATTATGGATTATACCACGACGTCTTTGATTATATAAAATATACACACCGTCACGCTTGTTAGTCACTTGGTAGGCAGATCCCATGAGCAGCAAGCTACTTTGACCACGCATAGCCAAAGGAATATAGATATAAATGGAGAAAGTGATACACAATCACAAACCCATTATACATACCACTTATATCCCTTATTCCATTAGCCGCGTTTTACACAGTTTTTATTTGTATATTATAAGGGTGAAAAACGATCACAAAGTCATCTGATGATAAGTGAATGATGTGGCCCATAGACATCTACATTTATTTTCAATTGACAATCAAAATGCAGATGCGTTGTCACGCTTCAGGAATAAGATGGAATGCCTCGTTTCCAGTAAACAGGGTCGCCGGATATCTACACTCCCCATACGAAACACAGCAGCATTAAGCTGCTATTTTACGCTGCTATTCTGTGAAAGCGTGGTTCTTTCCCGGTCGAACCGACCCATTCATGCTACAACCATGATATAACTGCAGCATGGCTCTACCACGTATATTGAACGTACATTGAACCGATTGAACATTGTTACGCTTTGGCATAATTAGTTATCATAATGATTTCTTGTACACTACACTCCAAATGAAAATAATTGTACGGATTTATCGCGTTTAATTTAACTTTTTAACTCCCGACATTTCTGTCACAGCTGTGGTGTTTGACGTACCGACCTCATAGTTATCACGGCTACCTTAAATTTTTTAATATTAATTTTTGGTCCGATCTACGCATAATGAGCTTACTATGACATGGAGGGTGCTGTAAAGTACCCTAAAAGTCGGGAATTAAAAAGATTAATTTATCTTTTTAATTTAACGCAATAACGCAATAACGTTTTATTTAACGCAATAAAATCCGTAAAAATTGTTTCATTTAATAGATAGTTATTTGATAAATCACACACTTACAGCCGACAACTAAAAGCACCACTCGCAGACTGTTCATTGTAATATTTCATATAAAGATTTTTTCCGTTCACATCCTGCCACCGTGCCCACTTTGCTAGTACACGAGTAAGAAACTCAGCAATATAACTTTAATGGTTATTATGTTGTTAGAGCGCTGGGCTGGTATTTTCTCGCAATAAATTTAAAATAGACATTTATGTTTTCTTTTTTCCTCGAATAAATATATAGCGGCCATAGTTACAATAAAATTTTTCCTTTTATTTTACGAATGCGTTTGGTAAACTTTAGTTTTTTTTTTTACGAAGAGCAATGCTGCAGCTATATTAGTAGTATAGTTGTAGCACGAATGGGTCGGCTCGGTCGGGGCAGAACCACGCTTTCACAGAATAGCAGTTTAATGCTTCTATGCTTCGATGGTGAGTATAGAAAATCAGAGCTCCATTTTACTTGAAACGAGGCATTCCCTCTTAATCCTCACGGGTGACAACGCATTTGGTTTGTGATTCGTAATCGTGGATAGTCTGTGGGCCACAGCAACCACTTACGATCAAGTGGACTATGTGTTCGTTTGTCACACTTATCCCATAAAAAGGGTCAGATATTATGATGAGATAGCTAGCTTTCGCTCGCGACAACGCCTGCGTCTCCTAAGTTTTTCTTCAACTATTCTAAGTCAGTGCTTTACAACGCTTTGTATTTCCCTCAATAGTTGTTTATTTTTTCTTTTTGATATTTTTATCTTTTCTTGGTGTACAATAAAGAGTATTGTATTGTATTGTATTGTAAGCTAATCGAAATTCAATTCTATGCACCTGCATCCATCGATCTTATGCGTGCATACCTTACCAGGCCACTCGACAGTTTATTTATTTGAAATATTTCTTATGAGGCAATAAATTATATTAAATTTTTATTGAATTTTTATTTAGGAAATTTTTTAGTCTTTCAAATTCATTATTTTAATAAATGTCACTATGGTGATCCTCTCATTAAGTTATTTGATTACTTGCTCGAGGTGAAATTAACTTCTTCACTTGAACGTTTTCGGAGGCCTTACACCAATTTAGTAGAACGTTACTTTATTAAATTTTAATTTTAGCAAAATTATATTCAATTATAAGCTTTATTTTTGATGAAATCTTAGAGAAATATTTTTTATATATTTCAAACCTTTTCCAGGATGTTAATATTTAGACAAAGAGAAACAAACAAAATTTCGTGCCAAATTTTTTTTATTTTACATTTACTTTACTGCCTCTACAGTGTCTTTGCTGTTCACACAAATTAAAAAAAAATCATATCTGCATATCCTTAATTCTCGCCGTGTTGTTTTATTCGTTTTTTAATGTGAATGTATCAGGTCTTCAATTCCATCTTCTTCTTCATAAGCTGTAACAAAATAAGTGTGATTAACACATTTGTTTAATGAAACTACTTTTGGTAAAGGAAATGAAATTTTCTTAATTTCTTTGAAGTTAAACTTTGAACGTTTTTTTTTTTTAATTATTTGTTTATAATTGTTTCACTTTGAAATTACGTTTGTCCAATGTCATTTATTATTTTAAATCTACTAATACTGTTTTGAAATGAGGTTCCTCTGGCCGGAGAAGAAAAAGCAAAAGAAACTTCGGAGGTATTCTCTTTTTATGGCAGTGCAGACGCATAGTGTATACAGAGTGGAAAGCGACATAAGACCCATCGGTAATTGAAGCATGTTCTATGATGTATTCAAAAAAAAGTACGATAATGTGACGATAACCACCCTGCTGGGATTAGTGGTGACGGGGATAGTGCACGCAATTGAGGGTGGGCGGGAGGTGCTCTGCGTACTAGGTAAGACACATCATTTTATTTTATAGCACGGATGTTTGCGAAGTAAATTTTTTAAAAGTTTTTATATCAACGTACATATCTTGCATATAAGGGTAGCCTTCCCTAAACTAAATAATTAATCCAGTAAAATGGTCTACTTACCGGCTTTTATTAAAGGTCCTCCTGACATAGCGTCAGCTTGGGCTTGGGCCTGGGCCAGGCTTTGCGCACCTATAAAGAGAAAAATAATTTTTCTTCACTAATGCCTTTTGCTAAATCATAAACGACAGGAATAATAATTACAGGTTCATTATATCATCATCATTACAGCACTTCACAAGTCCACTGCTAAACGCAGGTCTACTCCAAGAAATGTCACAAAACACGGTCCTGAGCCATCAGCATCCCACAGTTGTCACTTGATTTAATCACAGGTTGAGCTACGTTTAATAATTAAATACTTTGGTAAAAAAATTGAATGCAAGTAGATCAATCATTAACAATAACCCAACGGATTAGTAAGTTGAAGTGGCAGTGGGTCGGCCATATAGCTCGAAGAACCGACAACCAATGGTGAAGAAAGGTTCTCGAGTGGCAGCCTCGTACCAGTAGGCGAAGTGTAGGGTAACCCCCCCCCCCCCCCCTAAATGGAGTGACGACCTGGTCAGACATGCAGGAAGTCGATAGATGCAGGTGGCTCTGGACCGTGCTTTCTCGCTTTCCTTGGGAGAGGCATATGTTCAGCAGTGGACTTATGAAGTGCTGTAATGATGATGAGATCAATCAGTAAAATAAAAAAAACTTACCACCTAGATTTTGTCCAACTGCGTTTGCGATCGCTTGTGATTGAGCTACAGATTGAGATAATGGTGACCAAGGCATTAAGCCATCAGAATACACGCCTGAATTGGCAATAGCTTCAGCTTCAGCAGATGCTGAGGATCCTGGTCGGTACGCCATGGGATATATGCCCATTCCTGAATTAGCATTAGCATTAGCTCTTGCGTCAGCTATGGAGCCAGATTGCATTATTCCTGGGTAATATCCGGTATTTCCTCTAGCAATAGCTTCTGCTTCTGCTAATGCTGATGCAGATGAACCGGGCATATATCCAGGAAGAATGTTTGGTAGTATCTGATTATTGGTAGAAATAGCATTTGCTAAGGCTTGTGCTTCAGCTGATCCCATTCCGTTATTGGCAGACATAGCATTTGCTAAGGCTCTCGCCTCAGCTGATCCCATTGAATAGCCGGGTCGGATAGCGGGATATAATGGATTAAGTAGCATGTTCCCTCTGCTTATAGCTTCTGCTTCAGCCAATGCAGACGCGCTCGATCCGGGAACATATGCAGGTCCATAGCCAGGCATGATTCCTGAATTTGCATTGGCAACTGCTTCGGCTGCTGCTTCTGCTAAACTAGAGCCTACCGGCATTACAGGTGAAATTGGGTAATATCCGGTATTTCCTCTAGCAATAGCTTCTGCTTCCGCTAGTGCTGATGCAGATGAACCGGGCATATATCCAGGAAGAATGTTTGGTAGTATCTGATTATTGGTAGAAATAGCATTTGCTAAGGCTTGTGCTTCAGCTGATCCCATTCCGTTATTGGCAGACATAGCATTTGCTAAGGCCCTCGCTTCAGCTGATCCCATTGAATAGCCGGGTCGGATAGCGGGATATAATGGATTAAGTAGCATGTTCCCTCTGCTTATAGCTTCAGCTTCAGCCAATGCAGACGCGCTCGATCCAGGAACATATGCAGGTCCATAGCCAGGCATGATTCCTGAATTTGCATTGGCAACTGCTTCGGCTGCTGCTTCTGCTAAACTAGAGCCTACCGGCATTACAGGTGAAATTGGGTAATATCCGGTGTTTCCTCTAGCAATAGCTTCTGCTTCCGCTAGTGCTGATGCAGATGAACCGGGCATATATCCAGGAAGAATGTTTGGTAGTATCTGATTATTGGTAGAAATAGCATTTGCTAAGGCTTGTGCTTCAGCTGATCCCATTCCGTTATTGGCAGACATAGCATTTGCTAAGGCCCTCGCCTCAGCTGATCCCATTGAATAGCCGGGTCGGATAGCGGGATATAATGGATTAAGTAGCATGTTCCCTCTGCTTATAGCTTCGGCTTCAGCCAATGCAGACGCGCTCGATCCGGGAACATATGCAGGTCCATAGCCAGGCATGATTCCCGAATTTGCATTGGCAACTGCTTCGGCTGCTGCTTCTGCCATATTAGAGTATGGATTTAAAACTGTTGGGTATACAGAATTACCAATAGCATTGGCTTTAGCCAGTGCTTCCGCTTCGGCTAAACCTGATAGAGCTCCCAACCCACGTACATTACTATTTGCGATTGCCTGTGCCTCAGCCAGTGATTGAGAAACTCCAGAAATAGGATAGAAAGGATTTAGTGCATTTGATCGAGCATTAGCATATGCATCCGCACTGCTGATTGCACCTCCGATATTCCATGGAACGGCACCTGAATAAAAGTTTGTAATTAATGTATAATATTTAAATGCAATGTTTATTCATTTTATTACAACCTATCAAAAGTCAACTGCTTAAATTAAACTCGCTCCTATAGATTGCACCATAAGGATCCCTGCTATGGTATTTTTTTTTACAATGGGCAGTGGATCGGCAATCATCATTTATTATTATTTTGAATTGTTATCAGAATGATGTTGCCGCCCATCTCCTGTTCCTTTCCTCTGTCGCCACTTACAACACTCACGGGGTTCGAATGTGGTACTGGATTCCCTTACGCCGTCACTACATGGCGTATTTTATACATATTTTGTTTAAAAATATAAACTTTATGGTTGTGACCTAATACTTTATGTTGCAAAAATTAGCTTCATCTGTAATTTGAACCTTGAACTCCTATATGACAAACATGACAAAATAACGTTATTACCGCAATCGGGATGCCTATTACACCTTGCTATGACGTAGTTGTAAACTAGTTGGAACATGTACACGTTGCAGCCAATCAGGAACGGTTGGAGAGGAAACAATTGCCTTGTGACCCTCAAGGGGTCTACTAGGTTGTAGGACATTTTATCCTACGAGTCCGTCTGAGTAGATACACTAAAGATGTTAAAAATTAGTGCTTACACTGTTTTGTTCCAGTTTGAAGGCTACAAATAGCCGGTGTAATTACATGCTGTTATATATCACGTCAGTCACCAGAGGTAAGTACGCATTTGTAGCATTTTTGTGTGAAGTTGGCTGCAGGTGTCCATGTACAGTATGTGTGCAGTAGCCACTTACCATCAGGTGGAATGAAAATTCGTTTCAATTCACTTTACTTTTATGAAAAAAGGAAACTTTACCCGTAGTGGTGTCATAGAATTTAGGGTGACAAACGAGTACATAGTCCACGTGGTGCTGCGGAACATACACACCTAAATCATATTATCAAAATAGAAATGCGTTTCATCGATAGCCCAATCAATTGTGATGGACTTCCCCATCCATATATTCGCTCTAAAAGCATTTTACGGCTGTTCGATATTCAACCTTTTCGGTGCCAAATTCGCTTTTTTATGTTTGTTTTTGTTTTAACGACACCTGTGGCGATTCTGCATAACTGGTCCGTCCACTTTGATGTTGTCACTCAACCCATTTTTAATTTTTATATTTTTCGTTCATTCGTTTGCTCCATTGTTCAACTTTATCGTTTTCAGGTTGGTAGATATGCTTTTTATTTTTCTCTGCGGTGTCGTTTCGGCCTTAGCTACAGCTCTATTACGGCGCACCTATTTTATCTTGTCCGACACAATTATTTCCCTCAAAGGAGCTTCTTATTTGAATCTGTCTTACAGTAGTTACTGCAGTTACATAAATTCTGATGTTGTTTTTTTATTCATACTTTGTATATTTATATTATCAGGTCCCTTTTATAGTTAATAACTCATAGCCTACCTATCTTATATTTAGTTTTATCATCATCTTGATATGTATTATGCAATTTCGTTGTTTCTAACTTAATGTTTGTTGTTTTAAGGAGACAATTACTTACTGTTATATAGTCTACCTTAGTCGTCATGAGGGACAAAGTTTATATATCAAAATTAAAAAGGAAAATGTATACTAACCAAAAAAAATCAAAATATTATACTTACCAACTGGAACTACAGGGCCGACACCTGAAAATTTTGTTTTATTAATGTTGTTTAATTTAAATTTGAATGCAATAAGAAAAAACAATTACAAAGTTGATTGTGGATTTTATTACCTGGTAGCACTGGGCGTACTGATGAACCTGCAAGAAAAAGTATGTTATGATCAAGCACAGACTTATATTTGGTAAATAAAAAACGTATTAGGATAACACTTACAGCATTCTCTCCTTGTGTAACAGTTCACTTCGACGTTAATAACACCTGTGGCGTAAACTTCAGTACAGACACACTCCTGGCAACCGTCCCATGGGTGTGCGAAGGGTACGTTTGGTACATGTGGTCGGCACGAGTTGTCTGATAATAAAACGCTGTTAACTATGGACAGGAATTATAGACTTCACAGAGTCAGTAATTCAAAGAATTACAACCAGTCAACACTGGGGGTAATGGAATAAAGAAAAATGTTGGCAGGTGCAAATTAAGAACAAAAGATTAAACATATATACATTCCACATAAATACGACCCTTTTTTACTTTTTATTCTTGCGTTAGGCATATATGTTCAATAGTTAAAAAAAGTATACATACACTGACCGCTTACAGGGCTTCAAGAAATGACGCTCTATCTAACAAGGCGGCAATGTACATTTAATTTACTATATCATCTATTATTATATTGACGTTATCAAATTATAAAGTTTACGAAAAAATTATAATAATTACAATAACGTTACGTTCTTATTGTTATTACACGCTTTATATTAGCTTGAACTGTATGTATGTATGTATGTAAGTAAACCCATTTATAATCGAAAACGATTTAAGAAATTAAATGTAGAGATTTCATTTGATTTCCACAATTGTTATGAAATCAAATAAACATTAGATAATATTATCAGAGCTATGCAGACTGAATATTCCACAATATCCCGTTAAAACGGTTCGTTAAACGATGTCGCGGTCAGTAATAGCCGTAATATTTCCAGCCCGGGGCATAATATGAGCTCTTCTTCCAATGATTATTCTAGTCTTCCTTTCCGAGCGCAATGAAATTTAACATGCAAGCGTCTCGCATGCAAATTGCATCCAAATTTACTATTATATTCATTGTGGGAATTGCTTTAAATGTAATACGATTGTGGTGCTATAAACCTAGCACTACCATCACTATGTTATATATCTATTTGTGTTTAAAATATGTATTTATATATGTATGTGTTTACATTGTATATTTTTTTTTTCAAACGTCGCGGGTAGGCTGGGAGAGAATGCCAAAAGGCATTTAGTCCACCCTTTGTTATCCTTTTTATTAAGATGTACAATAAAGTGTAAATAAATAAATCACTATAATTACCTCGCTTTGCAGGAACTATATTTTATACAATTATAAATCTATACGATATACAAAATTAAGATATAATTAAATATACTATTACTACTATAATTACTATTGTTGCAGCAATATAATTATTTTAATTGCGGCATCACATATTTTAAAAAGCAAATGTTTCATTTATTAATATTGTTACTAATTACTTATATCTGTATGTAGGCTATACCAGGTAGTGGCGGTGTAAGAATATCCACTACCCCATATCTCGTGGGTGTCGTAAAAGGCGAAAGGGGACAACAAATCAGGTGATGCACAGCAGCGTCTTCCTAATAACGACTAAAAGTAAAAAAACTACGGTTGCCATCCCCCTTGCCAAGCGTGGCAACTATGGTGAATATCCCTCTATGGGACAGGCCTATGTTCGGCAGTGGGATTTAATAGGCGGTAACAGTATAATAATAATAATAATAGAATATAAGTTGAGATAAAACAAAATTCAGGAACTAAAATGGCGCTTACTCAGCTCTTAATGTTGTAGAAACCACATAGTGGTGACTATGACGCCGATTTTCAGTACTTTTATAATTATACTAGTTACTTATAATTATACGTAATTTTACAAACTACTTACGTGGTCGGGGTCCTGGCAGTGGGCTGGCTTGTATTGGATTAACTATTTAAAAAAAAAGAACATTGATTTGTTAATTTCTAGCCGATTTTAAACAAAAAGAGGGTTCACAATTCGACTGTTATGTGGTGATTTGAGGTCACCGCTGATACCTTAGCCTAATTTTGACATTGACGGGAAACAACATAAAGAAAAGACTGAAATATATACTCACATGTGCTATGTAAATTTGGGTAAATTTATATAATTATAATGCTTGATACCTGCCTCCAATTTTTGTTGTTCAAGTAACCATACTTGGCATTTCTTTCTAAATAATTTTGTATCGTATGTATAATAAATCTCCGCAAAGTAACGCCCCGTTCTATGAATTACCGTAATTTTTATTTTGGATATATACTGTAAATTATTTAATTTAGGTCAAATATTTCCATATAAGATTGAACGTTGCTAGTTTAAACTTACAGCATCCAGGTATTGGATAACAGATTATCTCTTGTTGTAGAAACTGAGGACGTGTAGTCGGCGACACATTTCCATATTGAACAGGAGTCGTTGGGATGGGGAACTGGACGTTCTTAGGGAAATTCTCGCAAAGCGGCACTGTGTGTGCTAATATTTACTGATAACGTACGACATGGCTGCGTTGAATGGTCGTTGGGTAACGCAAGCTAGGGTTTTCTGGATTTATATTGGCCCCCAATATTGTTTGTAGCCAGGGGTTCCTAAACTTTTTCAGTTCGTGGTACACTTACAGGTTTAGTTTTTTGTCTCAGCACCTTAATTAGTCGAAATAGGATACAATGACAATAGGTAGATAGGCACAAAAATTTAAACTTGCGCAATATGAAGCTGATGAAATGTTGCAAAGGAGGCGTGTGATTTGTTTTGTTTATTTTGTACCCGCTAATACTTAAGTTGTAAATAGTAGCGCCTCACGGCCCCCCTCCCTTATGGCGCATCAGGGAGCCGCAGCTCACACCTTGGGAACCCCTGGTGTAGCTGTCCGTATTGAAGTCTATTTTTATTCGGACTTGAAAATGAAAGCAAAATAACCAATATAACCTGGCATTACCTTGCGGAAATCCAATATATTATAGTAAGCCAAGATCCATCAGATCTTTAATTTTTAAATTAATTGAAGGATTTTGAAGCGAACTTCACCATTATAAGGGTTTTTTTGTGTACATACAATGTTTGATTATTTTATGCAGTGATTTAAACAGGAAAATATCGAAGTATGTAATAAAGTCCTATACGAAATAACCACGTTAATATTATATTTATAGATTGTTATCATACACATCTTAAATCGTTAGCTATAATATAGAGATACTAGCGATCCGCCCCGGCTTCGCACGGGTGATTTTTGGATCTCGACAACAGCGCCACCTACTAAGTACAATTGATGTCCAATACAATTGTTTCAAGATCATTCAAAACTCAAACACACATAAAAAACTTTCATTAAAATAGGTCTAGGCGGTTAGGAGTTTAGCGACAAACACGCGTACAGAAGAGTTATATATATATAAAGATAACTAGATTTTTCTACGTAACATAGAATTATATATATATAAAAACAAAGTCACGCTTCAACCTTTTTAGAAATACTCACTACACTCTGGATTTTCCTGACATACTACTTTGGTATCGGAATTCCCGAATACGTCGTCAATTACGTGGCAAACGCATATTTCACAGGGATTCGTAGGGTTTTCGAAAGGTTCCTCCGTGGGCATGGGGTCGCATGATACTATGGAAAATATAGTTATATATAGTTATAACTAATAGGACTGTATTTTTATAACCGCGATATAATCGAAAATAAGTAATTCAGAACGCTGATAACTTGTTTTGCACAACTTATACAAGAAATCCCTGAACTGAAATAACGTATTTATTGTATTTCTGCAACTTACTTCAATAATACATTAATTTTATAAAAAAAAATACTAGACAAAACGTATATAGCAAAGAAAGGCCTTGACTCGGGATAATGCTACAGTGACAGAGTTACCGCAGCGCTGACATTCTATCCGAGCCACATAAGTTGACTCGCGAGGACATAATTTAGTACCAATTTTATAACTAATAATTACTAAGTACTTGAGCAAAGTTAACATTTAAACTAATAGTTATTTAGATTAGAAATTATGTGCATTAAATTAGCTAACTCACTCTGTGCCACATTTCTGAATCTATATTAATATTAGCCTATGGCACACAGTAGGTTTATGGACGTATTCATAAAAAAAACATTCGGTTTAATTTATTTTTAACAACTGTAAAAAGAACAAACCCAAATTCTGGGTTCATGATACTGAATAGTATTAAGCAGACAGCAGACAAGCTTACATAATAACTTCACAATATGAATTCAAAGTAGCTAAGATCTACGCGTTTTCTTCAAACTATGTAAGACACTCCAAATTGTTTTTCACACGGATGTTTCATAATTTATTTTCAGGTCTTATATTGCAATAACTTATTTGTACTCACCTCTAGGCACTGGTACAGGTCCAGTCACACCACATCGAGAACAGCTGACGCAGACAGGTCTTACGTAACCAAGTCGGTTGACACAGGCGCAGACGAGGCAATCCAAGACAGGGGTCCAGAAATGATGTAACTCTCCTTCTCTTGTACACACAATAGCATTTTCACCACCTGGAAATACACTAATTAGTTTAAGGTATTGTCAAGATAAACTTAAAAAATAAAGCTACACATATATTTTCCACACAATATATCAGATCGTCAAAGTAATTATTTAAATAGATATATATCTATATAGTGGTCGATAGCGATATAAATACAGTTTAGCAAATCTCTGTTCAAAATAAGATTGTGTTACACAGAATAAGCAGAGGCGAGGAAAGTCGATGAAAATGCACCCATTAACCGTAAAGAACGAAGCTCCAGAATCTACGTGATAGAACCACGCTGCAGCTGAGTTATAGCTGCAGTATGAATGGGGTTTCGATGTGACATAGTACTTTTTCGATATGAACTCTCACGCTCAAAATTTCCATCAACAATTCCTTTGGTACCGGCGGAGATCGAACCCGGGTTGCTCGTGTTGAGAAATTTAAGGCTATAGTAGTAAGCACCTGCGCCTTTAGACTAGGTATTGATATATTAATGTCTTTAATTCTTATGTCGGTGCGTAGGATGGTTGGATGTTGTTAGTGAGGCATCCTTGGTCCTCATTGATACATCGCAATTATATTCCTTGTCTTAATCGAAAATGCCTTTCTTTTTAGACCACCTTATCCCCACGTACATCCACGAAGCTCAGTTATTATTATTTGCATAAAAATAATGACTTAAAATAGTCACCATAAACATTATTCTTTATCGGATTTTTGTTCAAATGTCAACTTTTATTTACCTGGTATTTCATGAGGCATTATGTACTCGTGTTGCGGTATCACCCTACCCCTAGCATCTGTAAAAAAGATATAAAAATTAATAACTATCCTATGAATAAAAATTTAACGAACCCAATGATGTAAAATCATAACAAAAAATTTACCTGCCAAGGCATGGGCTAACGCGTGTGCATCTAAATGTGAAGAAATAGATAAAATAAAATTAGAAATTCTGTGAAGTATAAATCTCGACTTATAGACAAACATAAGATATTATTTAATATAAGAGTACATACATAATTTAAAAATCAAAATTTATGTTTGTATCATATTTTTCTTAAATAAGCTATTTCTTGAGAAGAGGAAAATAATAAGTTTAAAAAAATTGTCATTTTTAAGTGCGACAAACGAGCACACAGTGCACCTGATGGTAAGTGGATGATGTTGCCCATAGACACCTACATCTATCCTTGACGAAGAACCTAAATCACGATGTATGGTCACCCCTGAAGAATAGGAAGAATATAACCAGTAAAAGAATATCCAGTTCTTTACCCTCACCATACCAAATAAAGCAACATTAAGCTGGTATTTTAAGATGTTAGCGTAAGATATTCTGTGAAAGCGAGGGCCGCCTCCGGTCGAACAGACCCACTCATGCTGCAGGGATAAGAAAATGGCCACAGTATGGCACTACCAGGTTAAATCATCTGTATCAAAATACCATTACGTATTTACAGCAGATAAATTACTTTTGGCGAATTACAAACATAGCTATAATGATAAAAACTGAAACAAAATTCAAAATAATGTGAAACTTAGGAAGATCGACATCTAAAAATGATCTGTTATGGTCTGATGACGAATGACAAAAATGGAAGTTGTTATCTTTAACTTATCCGACTAGAAAAAAGGATTACAGGCTTTGAACTCACTTGCAGCACCTAGACCATTTCCATATCCTGTTGATAATGCGTCCGCTTGTGCTTGCGCCAGTGATTGTGCTTGTCCAACACCAGGATAACCCACCCCAAGAGAATTAGCTAAGGCGTTAGCTTCAGCCGAACTCCAAGCATTACCCACTCCACCAGTCTGCGATTGGGCTAAAGCTTCTGCTTCAGCTTGTGCGATTGATCCGACATTTGGAATACCAACAGTAGTTGGCCAATAACCCAACCGTCCACCTCCAATAGCATTAGCTAAAGCCCTGGCCTGAGCATTACTTGCCCCTAAAGTTGAATAAGGGGCTACTCCAGTTATCCATGGAACAACGCTTCCAACATTTGAACGTGCATTAGCCTCGGCCTCAGCTTGTGCTTGGCTAGCTCCGAATAATCCTTGAGATAGGGCATTAGCCTCTGCTGCTGAGGAAGCATATCCAGAAGTGGGGTATACTCCTCGTGGTCCGTACAGTCCCGGTAAATAGGAATTAGCTGCTGAATTCGCCAGAGCTTGCGCATCTGCGGAGAAGAATAAGAATTAAAATTAAAAAAATTATAATTTCACCTTTAAATAGCTAAAGATTGTAGCTAAACATTGTAGCGTAAATTTATCTTTCTTACAGAATAAGTGCGACAAACAAGTACATAGGCCACCTGATGGTAAGTGAATGCGGTGGCTCATGGACACCTACATCTATCCTTGATGAAAAATTTTATTCACGATGCATTGTTGCCCTTGCAGAATAGAACAGAATGCTTATTTAATTTTTATTTACTGAGAGTAAAGAACCGGATACTCTTTTTACAGGTTGTCGTAAAAAGGGTATCCAGGTCTTTACCCTCACCATTCCAAACATAACAGCATTAAGCTGCGATTTTACGCTGATATTTTGTGAAAGCGTGGACCTCCCCCAATCGAGCCAACCCATTCGTGCTGAAGGCATAATAAAATGGGCGCAGTATGGCACTACCACGTTAAATCATCTATATCAAAATACGTAATTGTATTTATAGCAGATAATTACTCTTGGCGAACTACAAATATATCTATAATGATAAAAACTGAAATATAATTCAAAATAATCTGAAACTTTGAAAGATCTACTTCTAAAAATTATCTATTATCTGTTTGATTATTTTGAATTACAAAAATGAAAGTAGGATTACAGGCTATGAACTCACTTGCAGCACTTTGACCAATTCCATATCCTGTTGATAATGCGTCCGCTTGTGCTTGCGCCAGTGATTGTGCTTGTCCAACACCAGGGTAACCCACCCCAAGAGAATTAGCTAAGGCGTTAGCTTCAGCAGAGCTCCAAGCATTACCCACTCCACCAGTCTGCGATTGGGCTAAAGCTTCTGCTTCAGCTTGTGCGATTGATCCGACATTTGGAATACCAACAGTAGTTGGCCAATAACCCAACCGTCCACCTCCGATAGCATTAGCTAAGGCCCTGGCCTGAGCATTACTTGCTCCTAAAGTTGTATAAGGGGCTACTCCAGGTATCCATGGAACAACGCTTCCAACATTTGAACGTGCATTAGCCTCGGCCTCAGCTTGTGCTTGGCTAGCTCCATATAATCCTTGAGAAAGGGCATTTGCCTCTGCTGTTGAGGCAGCATATCCGGAACCGGGGTATACTGATCGTGGTCCATACAGTCCCGGTAAACGGGAATTTGCTCCTGCATTTGATATAGCTTGTGCTTCTGCGGAGAAGAGAAAAGAATAAAGTTAAAAAAATATCTTTTGTTCTTTTTAAGAGCTAAAGATAGTACCTAAACACTGTAGCGTGAGTTTATCTCCTTTATGGAATAAGTGCGGCAAACAAGCACTCAGTCCACCTGATGGTAAGTAGATGTTGTGACCCAAAGACATCTAAATCTATCCATGATTAGGAATCTGAACGTCGAAGCGTTGTCAATCCTGAGGACTAAAACAATGCCTATGTATCAAGTAATAAGGGTTTCCGGTTCTTTATCCACACCACACCCAACAAAGCAGCATTAAACTGCCATTTTATGCTGGTATTTTGTGAGAGCGTGGTCGCTCCCCGATCAAGCTAAGCCATTCGTGTTGCAGCCATAATAATATAGCTACAGCATGACACTAACATTTTAAATAATCTGTATCGAAATACGATTACATAATTATAGCAGATAATTACTTTTAGCGAACTGCAAATATATTACTGGCTGATGATAGTGAATTAAAAAACGAATATTGTTATATTTAATTTATCCGGCTAAAAAAAAAGGATAACAGGCTATGAACTTACTTGAGACACCTTGACCATTTGAAAATGCACTTGCAGATCCTTCCCCACGTGCTTGAGATATTGCCTGACCCGCTCCTGATTGCGCGTTTGCCTGCGCCTGGGATTGTGCTTGTCCAAAACCAGGGTAACCCGCCCCATAAGATTGAGCTAAAGCATTAGCTTCAGCAGAGCCCCAAGCATTACCCAGTCCACCGGTCTGCGATTGGGCTAAAGCTTCTGCTTCAGCTTGTGCGCTTGATCCGACATTTGGATAGCCTCCAAATCGCCGAGAGCTTAATGCTTTAGCAAGGGCACTAGCCTCCGCTGTTGAGGAACCATATCCTGGCCGTAGTCCATACACTCCCGGTAAATAAGAATTTACTCCTGAATTTGCCAGAGCTTGCGCTTCTGCGTTTGCTTGGCTTGATCCATATCCGGGGTATAGAGGACCGTACCCGTACCCTGGATTTAATTAGATAAATTTAGATGGATAATTTTTTTTTAAATAAAAATGAAAATTTTTCATTAATGAATTTTTAAACATATTGAAACAGTTAAAAAATATTTATACATTTTTGATAATTTTTGTTAGGTTATTCCCGTCTCTCTTTTTTGGATGTAGGATTTAAAATCATATTTAGAGTTTATATGTACAACACGTACTCACGAAACAACCTATTAAACTTTTCTATGTAATGATATTTTAATAAGTGCATTATTCTCATCTTTGTTTGGTTGGGCTCTATGAATATTTAAAAGAACGATAAATAATACAAAAAATAAATAAATACTAAATATATAAATAAATGAAAAGCCATTGTCTCGATTATAGTATTCCGTGATTCTAAATGCATATGAACAGTGCACTACTGTCTTGTGCTTCTGTTTTTTTTCCTTACACGTTTTATGTATTCTAGTATTCCAGTAATGTACAATAGGTTCTAGTTAAATAAAATCTAGTTAAATAATGACTTCTACTGACAATATCGTAATGAATATTTGTACACCACACTGTGGTAGAATACACGAAACCTAATGTAAATTTTACGAACACCTTACTTACTGTATTCACAAATAAATAAATGAATTTGTAAAAATTTGTAAAAAAAAAAAACGATGTATTCATTCCATGGATGTCGCAAGAGGTGCAAGAGGAAAATGAAACAGGATATGGGCAGCAGCAGCTTCCTGATAATTACTTGAAATGCCAAAAAAATCTGCGGTTACCAAACCGGCTGCCACACGTGGCAACTAAAAAACAATCAATGCTGAGCAGTGGATTTATATGAACTGGGCTGTACTAAATACTATACAGTACAATAACTTTATTTCAGGCATCAAGAAAGAAAAAATAAGAACATTGGATGATGATATAAATGATTGTATGAATTTTTAGTTAAAAAAATAATAATTTTATAACCTTTATAAAAAAAATCCCAATATTAAAGAAATAATCTGATACAGCAAGGAAGTGCATTATATCAAAGGTAAGCACAACTAAAACTCTTACCATGTCAGAGATATTGTGAGTAAAGTAAATTCTTACCAGTAACTCCTGAAGATAACAGGCAGGCAAGAAAGCAGACGCTTCTAACTGCGCCCCCCTGCATCTTTTTTAAAATATCTTTCACTATTTCCGAAAACGCTACCAGTTGGTTCCAACCAAACCTTCGCTCAACTGCAATAATTTCATTCTGCGCTGGCTTTTTATATGTGAATATTGTTTAACCCTCCGTGAAAATCGTAGGTCAATTTGATTTATTGGTAATACATGATATACAAACATTTTGATTCGTAAACGATTCGCAGCGCTTGCAGTTTATTCAATTAGTTCCATCACAATAATTTTCTTTAGAATTCATATGAGATTTTTGTAAGTATATACTGATTGAATTAACATAATCATAACACATAAACACGCACGCCTGTCACCCAGAGGGGTAGGCTCTATCTAATACGGACTTCCGTTTGGCACGATCCTGACACCCCTATCTCGCCGCCTTTACGTCCATATAATAATATACATACATGCTCGTCAGTTAACAGTTCTCTCAATCTGGCCTATCTTCAATAAATCGACAATTTGGTTGATGAAGTTCCGTCAAGGGCATCCCTTGCCGACTCTGCCGTTCACTTCTACAACATAAATTCGCTTTGCCACTCTTTTCTCGTTCATTCTTTCTGCATGACTTAACCATCGAAGCATTCCTTTCTTAATCCTGGCCACAACATCACTTGGCAAACCACACATTTCTCTTATCACAAAATTTCTCACCCTATCTTTCAGATTTAGTCCCAACATTCTCCTAACATGTTCCATATGGTTTCAATGTTAAAGGATATTTCTTTGAGTTTAATTATTGAAAAAATTATTCCTCCCTCTCTCTTCCATTATAGGATAATCAGACGCTCGGTTAGTCTCAACCCCTTCGTTGTTGACTTATCACACATTCGAAGCAAATGGTTAGCTTTATCGTTCATCATGCCTGCAGCATAGGAGTGGAATAAGTTGCCAGCATCAGTCTTTACATCCGATAATAATGTGGGTGTCTTCACGGCGAGAGTCAAGAGTCTATTTTAAGCTAAGATAGCTTGTCTATTGCTATTTCATTTATTATATTTGGCTGCATTACCGCCCACCATCAGGTTGAATACGTGTTTAGCATTGGCTTAGAATTGTTTAAGAAAGAGTAAACTTCTATTTTAATATGTTTTTTTATAGGATAGAGTGACAAACGAGCACACAGTTCACCTGAAGGTAAGTGGTTGCTGTGGCCCATAGACACGACGTTTGTGAATCAAAATGCAGATGTGTTGTCACCCGTGAGGACTAAGATGGAATGCCTCTTATCCAGTAAAAAGGGTCTCCGGTTCTCTACACTCACTATACAAAACACAGCAGTGTTAAGCTGCTATTTTACGCTGGTATTCTGTGAGAGGGTGGTCCTACCCCAGACGAGCCGACCCATTCGTGCTACAACTATACTACTAATATAGATGAAGCATGGCTCTACCACGTAAAATGGTCTATTTCAATATATTGTAGGAATTGTAAATAAATACGCCTATATCTTATATCCCACTAAATTTATTTTATTTTTATAAATATGATGCGTGAAAATTTGTCAGAATGATATGCTTGAATTAACTAAATAATAACTGATACATAAGTTATAGAGTATCAAGTCCAAAAAGTTTGCCCTTGTCTTGTTGAAGGATTAAATAGAGGCGGTTGTTGTCTGCAACAAAATATGCATATTTTTAATAACTTACTCACTTAAAATTGTATGAGGCAAGAATAATCGTAAAATAATAAATAAATAATTGTTACCTAAGTGGATTATTTACTAGTTGATGTTGGTTGAGTTGTTTAAATGCCAAATTGTGAGGCCATAGATCTAAAAGGCCCAAGATCTCTTTTCTTCCTACTTTCTTCACCGCTTTTATAACCTACTGCTTGTGGTTGTGATTGAGATCCGCCATAACCTGGCCATCCACCAAACTGATTTTGAGTGTGTGCTTGAGCATGTGCTTGAGCTTGGGATTCACCTCCGTAACCACTAGTAGTTTGAGCTTGTGATTGGGCATGTGATTCCCCGCCTGACCATCCACTAAGGCCTCCATAACCTCCAGTTGCGGCGTTAGCTGCAGCATTAACATCAGCACCAGACCAACCACCGAGTCCACCAAATTGTCCAGTTACTGCGTTCGCTGCAGCATTAGCATCGGCACCTGGCCAGCCATTAAACCCATCATATCCTCCAACTGCGGCATTAGATACAGCATTTGCATCTGCACCGGACCAGCCACCAAACCCACCATACCCTCCAGTTGCGGCATTAGATGCAGCATTTGTGTCTGTATTAGACCAGCCACCAAGCCCTCCGTATGTTCCGGTTGCCGTGTTGGCTGCAACATTAGCATCAGCACCTGACCAACCACCGAGCCCATTGAATTGTCCATTTACTGCGTTAGCTGCAGCATTGGCATCGGCGCTAGACCAGCCACCAAGCCCAGCATGTCCTCCAGTTTGCGCATTTGCTGTTGCATCAGCTTGAGCTTGTGAAACACCTCCAATGCCTCCAAATATTCCGTAATTGGCTGCATTAACAACTGCGTTAGCCTGAGCGTCGGAGATTCCTGTTCCTGCTACATTCGCAGCAGCATTTGCGTGAGCATTTGAAAATAGAATATCATTTAGGGCAGCGGCGTTAGAGTTAGCTGCAGCATTAGCATTGCTTACACCGCCCCATCCAACGGTATTCGTATTGGCGTTGGCATTTGCGATTGCATTAGAACCAATCCCTTCCCAAGCTGAAATGAAATGTATTTATTTATTTTAACTTTCAATCCAAAATGTGTACATAATTTTAGTAGAAAACATCCAATAAACAATACATATGCA